TTGTTTGCCAATCAAAATTAGGAGTAAACAATAATATCTATGGAATCTGCAATGCCTTAAAAACTGACTTAGAAATTTTATGTTTTGGTGCAAATAATGAATTTATTATCCTAAAGAAATAAATTTAGGAAAACAATGTTACAATTAAAGTATGAACAAAAATATATTGCTTGATAAAAGCAATATGTGTCAACTATTCTTTTCTGAAAAAAAAAATATAAAGTATCAATTTGGAATTTAAGCTTTATTTATTGGAACTATTTGAGGGCTAAAAAGTAAAACTAAAGTTCGTAAATACAAGTTTCAGCTCTCTTTACTATCCAAATACTACTATTATTTGCTTCAAGTGGTACAATTTACTAATAATTGGTTTAATTGAATAATGAAGATCCAAAAAGTATATATATGATGTATAATCTTAAATTATGTAGGAGAAGAAATTTAGTATTTCGTAATACAAAGAATAAGGAAACTAAATATATTAAGATTATATTCCTATATATTAATTATCAAAGAAAAATACTTGTTATATAGCGCCAACTAGAGACATAATGTCTAAGATGACCTTACATATAGATAAACATGACACTTATAATGTAAAAAAAACAAGGGTAATTTATCTAAATAGGACTAAAACATAATGATTTTCTCAATATAAGACCATATGTTTTTATTTCCGAATGTAAGACCACATTAAAAGATTGAATCCAATCGATTAGTTAGTTCAACTCAAGAGCTTATATACCGATTAATTTCCTCGCACTTTTCCGATGTGGGATACTTTTTAACAGTCTATGTGATATACAAATACGAGTAATTATTTTATATATTTATTTGTGATACATTTCTATGTTACAAATTTAATGTATCTCTAAGACACTCCGTTCGTCCCTTCAGCTCTTCCACGATAATATTCACATGGTCAAACATTATCTATTTTATTTACTTATTTTCGTTGTCAATTTAGCAAAATAATATAGTAATATCACATTTATTTTTGATGACCTTTTGATGTAGTTTTTAAATATATAACTTTTATTTGGGCAAAGATCTTTTGAACTTGGAACCTTGGGTCATATTGTGACTCGGGGCACCTACGGTTTTTCGTTCGTAAAATTGATAGTTTTTATCCGTCCTCCTAAACCCTACCTCCCTGCCCCCCACCACAGCACACCCCCTGCCTCCCCTCCCCATTTCGCCGAATTGAAATATTTGATATATGACCTGTTTGGAAAATAGCGTTAAGGATCAGCGTTACCGTTTTGGATGAAAAATCAACGGGAAAAAGACAAAAGGAGTAAAATATTGAAAATATACCAAAATAAGACTTTCATATTTTTATTCCCGAAATATGAATTAAAATGTATTTACATTACCAAACATGGTCGTGTACATTACCAAAAAGTATTGTAATATGCACATGTACAACGTCACATTACAACCACATTAGCACAGTGCGAAGTCCTATTTCGAAAATAAAAACATGAAACTCCTATTTTGATACTTTTTTCTATGCTTTAGTCCTATTTAAGGTGATTTCTAAAAATCAACAGTGCAAATTACTTTAATAAAGCTAACGCTAAACACTGCTCGTGAATAGCCTTTTCAAAAATTAATTGAAAAGTATTTAAAAATGTGTTTTAACAAAGTAGAAGCTCAAACAAACTCTCAAACACACGCACTATTTTTGGCGTGTTTGGATAGTAGTACGAGTCCGGAGAAAATCGGACGGGAAAGTATTCGCATATACGAGTATTTCATATGACTTGTATCCCAATTTTTGTACTCTATTTTGTATCCCGCAGGTTTGCACCGATACTTTGTGTTGGTGTAAAACTAATTTCTGTTAATGCACCAATCCTTTGTGTCCGTGTAAATTTTTGTTAACGCACAAACATTTATGTCGGTGTAAATCATCAAAATATTTGTGTATAATTGCGGTGTACAAATGAGGTATAATATGTGGTGTAAGTGTAGTATGACCCATTTCATATATATAGCCCCACAACACTCTCTGACAATCCCTCCGACACATTGTACCTGAAGCGAGCAGAGAAATCCTTCAACAAAGACACCCCCGTCAAGAAAAATGGGCGGAACCGGCCGAGGGAAAGCTGCGGCGGCGACGACGACGACTGACGAAACCGACGGGAAGATCAGGACATGCAGAGGACGGCGACGGAGCGAGCTGAAGCACCCGACGTACGTCGGAGTCAGAATGCGGGCGTGGGGGAAATGGGTGTCGGAGATCCGGGAACCCAAGAAGAAGTCCCGGATCTGGCTGGGCACTTTCGCCAGCGCCGAGATGGCCGCCAGGGCCCACGACGTCGCCGCCCTCTCCGTCAAGGGCGCATCCGCCGTCCTCAACTTCCCCCAGCTCGCCGGGTCCTTGCCCCGCCCCGCCACGCGCTCCCCGCGCGATGTCCAGGCCGCCGCCGTCAGGGCCGCCCTCATGGACCACCTCGACGCGGACGCCGACGCCGCCGACTCGTGCCCCTCCTCCGAGGAGTTAGTATTGGGGGAGATCGTCGAGTTGCCGAAGCTGCCCGACCCGGGGTACGAGTCGATTCTGGCGGCGGCCGAGTTCATGTTCATCGACTCGTTTGACTACTTTCTCCCGTGGTGGCAGAGCTCGGGAAACGATGTATATTGCGACGGCTCCGGCGGCGCTGAAGTTATTCAACCATCTGAGTTCGACGGTTGGAAATTACAGCTTTAGTAAATTTTGAGAGTAATAAAGCAACTATATATGAACAGTTTGGCGTGGACATACAAATAATTGTATTTTAAAAATATTATTTGCTCGTCTTTCTCTTATGAATATTTTTCTATAAATAATATTTTGTTATATCTTCCATCATGTTGGTCTTAATTTCAGAAAACTAAAAATATAAATTCAAATTGATCATATATTTTTCTTGTCATGAATTTTAACCACAACTATAATCATTATTGTTGAGTTATTCATCTAACTACATCAGAATACATCACTGGATCGGACATAAAGTTAATGTCAAATTATACTTTTACCACTCAAATTAACACTAACATGACAAAAAACTCAAAAAAGGAACTACTTATGGAAATGTACCAACAAAAAATGTACTACGAGAATAATATTTGATAAGAAAACAAAAAATAAGCTCGATGTTACAAAGGATTCATTATAGAATTTACTCTATAATACAAATCAAATCTTGTGATTTATTGGGGTATAATAAAAAAATTTCACCACTTGCTTTGTAAAATTTGTGATGTTATTTTTGATGTATAATTTTTATTTTTTAATTCTATATCAATTTTTACGGATATTACTTTGAAAATAATTGCAATCAAACAGCGTAAATTGAACGCGAGTTTTATTTTAGAATGGAGGGAGTATTATTTATTACTCCATATATTTTAATATAATAAGATAAGAGCTAAATCTGACAAATCCATCGGGTTTGATTATTTCGAGTTTCGGTTACATCGGGTGAGGATAAGTTCGAGTTCAGATTGAAAACTAATGTTCAATATTCATGATCTAGTGTCATTGGATTTGGGTCGACCCAACAAGTTATGAGATTTATTTTTTAAATATTAAAATTCATAGCAGCACTTGAATTTTGTACTAAAAAAATAACAAAATACGAGTATCGAAATACATATATTGAAGCTCTTAGATTATTTTATTTTGAACTTTTAATTACCTTTTAGATATATTTAACAATGTTATGAATAATATGAAAATTAAATATGTACCACTTTTGAAAAATCTAAAATAATTATTTGATATCATTAAAACTTATTTTAAAAGTATAATTTTATACACTAAAATGAGTAATAAGAAAAAAAAACATAACTTTAGTTTTAATGCATTATTTTTCGTACTATAAGACATAATTTTGAAAAAGTCTTACATTAATGTGTTAGTCAGATCAGTTTCGGGTTCGGTCATGTTTGACGCATTTTTAGCGGGCCATATCAAGTTTCAGTAATCTTTGAGCTTGGTCAGCAAAACTTTTGTTAAAAACAAGTTGGTCAGTTTTTTCCAAGTCTGGATGAGACTTGCATCAATTTTTCTTTCATTTAAATAAGTTCTAATATGAATGAGTACATTTTTTATTTTTAAAACATTTTTTAAATTTTACAAAATAGTTTTTTTTAAAAAAAGAAGTAACGTGTGTTTCCATTGTATATGCCACATCAATCTTTTATGAATCCATATTCCACATTGTTATAATTCCAGTGGGCTTATAACAACGAATACAATGCCGAGTAAAATTAATTTCTTACACAAAAAGTTAGGCTCCACATTTTAACCCAAAAGTTTAAGCTAATAGGTAAAACATGACCCTTCTATATAATGTTAGTGGTATTTCATTGTTATTTCTTATGTGAGAGCTCCAACATCATCCTCAAGTGATAACTGGTTTGACCTAGTTATCATTTGAACAAACAAGTTTAGTATCTCAACCTCTTCTCACACAACGGACGTTACATTTTAATCTCTTATAGTCAACTCAATCGAAATCACAGATGGATAGCTTATATAGCTAAACCCACGTCCAATCAACAAGAGAGAATCAAACACAGATCGAACTGATACGAACTCCGTATCGGATAGGGAAGACTCAGAGCGTCTTCGAGCTCTTGAAAATATGGGACGAGGGAGAAGAAGAAGAATTGAGGCGAAGAAGGAATCGGCGAACCGAGAGGGGAGAAGGAATTAGAGTTTTGAGTTGTTTATTGATTGAATTATTCTAAAGGAGTTACATCTCTATATATAGGAGACAAAGTAACCCTAGCTAACCCTAAACCTAACCTGACGGTTCAATAAAAGCGACGAGGGAAAGAACCGTAAAGAAATCTCGAAGTAGCTTATAATTTGCTCACCTAATAAAATCTACATTACAATAATAATAATAATATTAATAATAATAATAATAATAATAATAATAATATTAAACTAATAAATATATAATCTAATATCCTACTATATAATCCATAACACTCTCACCCCCTTAGAAAACCACCTTGTCCTCAAGGTGGAGGTTCACACTCATGCTTCGAGACTGGAGAAAAAATGTTGACCCAAAGATTGTGCCCACTTGATGATAGATCTTCATTAAGCCTGCAAAGTGGAGTACAACGATGGACACAAGAGAGAAGAGCAAATGCAAACTTAGCTACCGGCGGTGAAACCCAATACTCGGACTCCACTATATTCGCATGGGCAGAGGACAGGATGATATCAAAGGATAGTGAGATGTCTGCTTGCGTATAATTTGCATCTGCTACTTGGGCTGTTTTGGACAAAGGCACAAGGGTACATGTGATGATGATATTGCTCAATGCTGGATCCTTTGCAACTTCTCCCTTACCCGGTGCATCGACGTGCGTATCAACAGCAACAAGATCCGATGGAAAGGCGTTAACAATACCTCCAACAGAAACATCATCGGCATCAACGGCAGGAACTCTTACTGAATCCCCAACCGTACACTCCACAGATTCTATGTCAGTAGGTGCAAGATTGTGTAGAGTGGTTGTAGGGGCTAGATCAGGTGGAGCAATGGGAACACCGAGAAGATTCCTTATAGCATCCATCATCTTTGTTTTGAAACTTTTTAACTCCAAGGGAATATCACTCAATGACATCGGGGTACCACGCACCAAATCTTGTAACGAGCAAGAGATTTCCACATTGAACGCATATAACTCAGAGTCAGAATACGATAGATCTAAAAGATGACGAAATAAGTGGAGCGTCTTCAAAATTTCATCCACATGATCATAAGCTATACAGACCCCGTCATGAAACTCAACTCTTCCATAAAAGATATTCTTCAACACACCAAGAAGTTTGTTCAAAGCATCATCCATGGTCACAATAATTTTATCCAAAATCGAGACCATAGTTGTGATAAGACTGATCCAAAAAAAACAATGAAAAAGCAATGCACTTCAGGGAGGAACAGTACTCTTACATACGGCAAAACATGTAGACTTCAAATTGAGAATTCTTTTGGCTATTCCGCAATTGGGGCTTTATCCTGTTTGACTGTTTTTTTTGGATCGGCAGTATATAGGGGCTTCACCCTCTCCCCAACTTTGCGAATTTGGTGAGGGACGGTGTTTCCTCGTCCAAGATTTCTTCCGGCAGCAGCAATGAGGAAAAAAAACTGGCGGCGTAAATTGATCTATTCCGCCGTCAACCACTACAAGAATTTGTCTGGACTGCAACGGATATCTGCTACGGAAATAAATTCGTAGCAGATCTGCAACGAATCCGCGACGGAATTGTATACCTCGAAAAAAAAGCAAAATCTGCGACGGATATATATTTTCCGTCGCAAACCAGCGACGGTTTATTGGGTACCGTCGCAAATATAAGGTGGTCAAAATTTGACCTTAAAATCTGCGACGGAACCTTACCCCCGTCGCAGATCCGTCGCAGGTTTAAAGTAAAAAACGAGAGTCAAAATTTTCCAGCCATTCGTTCTTCACTTGAACCCTATCCCGATTCTCTCTCCCCCTCCGCCGTCCTGCGACTGCCACCCCCTCCGCCAGCCTTCAACGACGGTCCCCCACCTCTCCGCCGACGAGCATCCTCGCCAGCCACGCCGGACCCTCCACCTATCGTTCCGCCCAGCCGCGCGACCTCCCCAGCGGCGCCAGC